ACTCAACACGGGAGCCTAAATCAAGTGCTTTGAGGAGCTAGTGCTGCCTTAGGTCAAGAGGGTAGCTGCTGGAAAATCCTATGTCTGGTAACAGGACTCTGCCCCATGCCACACAAGCAGGAGAGCCCAGTCATGGCTATCAAACAAATTTCTGCGACCACATCACTCCTTGCATCTGGCCACCTAACTCCCAAAATAGAAACCCTCTTGATTATTATGTGTGGGGCGCAGTTGAGCGAGAGTCTAACAAAACACCTTGTGACACTAAAGATGAACTGAAGGCAAGTATTATGGCAGCTTTCACCAACTTAAACAAGAAAACCGCCCAGAAAAGTTACACGAGATTCAGAAGTCGTCTGGAAGCCGTGGTTGAATCCAATAACGATTTCATCGAATAAATGTACTTTTTAGTATTTCAAGGCATTTTTGTTTAATTTTGGTAAATATATCTGTTAAAATAAGATGTCAACCCTATTTTCATTTTTGCGTAATTTAGACAATTTATTCATCGAAACCTATATACTTCTAACATCTCTGCTTTAACTTTAATTTACTGTTTATTTATTTTTTCTCTAAAGGGTGGTAGATAGTCCCACCTATCGTTCAGGTTACACTCACCATTGGACGTTTGAACAGGAGTAGTAATTTATCCTTTGTTTCCAGTTTAGGATTGGGTTTCTGGTTCCGTCTAAAATATTTTCTTTCTTTTTCCTTTCCAGTAGCCCCTTGCATCTTAGTGATGTTATTGCCTTACTTTGGGCAAATTGATTAAAATTGCCGTTCGGTTATATAACAAGCAGTAGAAAGAAAAAAAAACACCGCATCATTCTCAGTAATGAAGAATGAGTTTCAATTTGCTTATTTTATATATGTACGAAATTTCGACCAATAAAAAGCCAGATATTTAAGGTGAAAATTCAAAACGATGGATACGGTGTGTGATATTAATGAGAGTGTTTGTGGTAGAGGATTAGGAGAACATATAACAATAGAAACGTTACCTGAAGTGTAAATTGAAGTGTTCAGATAGGACTCCATATTGAAGTCTGTTCTCCAGTTCTAACAGAAAAGTAAAACAGTTCTAAAAGTAGAACTTTCTTATTACATCATGAACTTGGGGGAAATGGAGGTGAATCGACTCGACGAAAATGGCATTATGTACCCCAAATGTAGAGGTTTGGAGTAAATAATGAACACTCCTCGCTATGCTCCCTAGATTGGTGTCAAAGTCCTATCAAAGTCCCAAAGTTGAATTAGCTAGATGTAACTGTAAGTTCTATGCTAACAGTTTCTTCTCTCACACTTTTCGCTGGTGGAACTCTCTTCCAGCTTGATGATTTTCAGTCAAATTTATGTCAATTGCTGTCTATTCGCTCATTGATTATTCTTCTATTATTCTCGCTTTTTAATAATGTTTCTCTTTTTTCTTATTCTTTCACACTCAGTAACACCTTGTGTCTTAGTAACTTTACTAGATTGCATGAGGTGAAAGGATTAAAACATTCAGGAACGTGGTGTAATGGTTATCAAGCTTGCTTAGCTAGATCTATTACGACTGAATAGTGAGTTCGATCTTCACTGGGTGCTCCACATTCTCGGCCGTGTGCCACATCTAAGCTAAGCTTAGAAAATCATTTTGGGCCCTTCGACGTGGTGTAATGGATAGAAAGTTTGTCTCGCTAAAACAGTTACGACTGAATAGTGAGTTCGAACCTCACTGGGTGCTCCATACTCTCGGCCGTGTGCCACAACTAAGTTAGGCTTAGAAAATCATTTGGGCAACTCGGTATGGTGTAATGGTTAGCAAGCTTGTCTCGCTAAAACAATTACGACTGAATGGCGAGTTCAATCCTCACTGGGTGCTCCACACTTTCGGGCTTGTGCCACATCTAAGATACGCCTAAATAACCAATTTGAGCACTTCGACGTGGTGTAATGGTTAGCAACATTGCATTGCTAGAGCGATTACGACTGAATAGTGAGTTCAATCCTCAATGGGTGCAAAATTTGCAACTTTGAGTGTGTGGGTAATTGGATTCAGATTGACAAATAGGTCTTACCAGACGAGAGCCTATTCCTTTCAGTCAGTTGTAATTTCTTTTCATTTTAAACGCCATGCCTCCTCAGGACATTGTCCTTCATAGCTTCCCCAGTTTCTTTGTTATCTGTGAAGTGTCGTGACTTATTGGGATATATAATGGTTTAGCGTTGCCTTTTTCACCATTCTGAATTTAAAATTTTTCTACCAAGAACCTACAAGCAAGTCTATAGAGCCCAGTCTATTCTACTGGGCATGGGGAATTTTGTTCCTGAGAAAAGATTGCCGCGCAAGCCATGGTTACTAACGGAACCTCTGTGGTGTGGTGAGACGAGCACACTCTATACGCTTTCCTTCTGAGCACTGCTATAAACAAAGGAAGTGAGCGAAAACAGTATAACTTAGTGTGCATGAGCGATCGAGTTTAAGGTCAATCTGTGACAAGTGGCTTCACTTTGAGTACTTTAGTTCCGTTACCATAGCAACAATCTCGATATCTGGCCCTGTAATGTTGATGTGTTATACTTTCTGTAATAAAGATCACGCTTTAAATAAGAACCTTTTAACTAAAATAATGGCTGAAGGGTACGGTTTGTACTGGTAGTCCATTATTCTGGCAGGATCTTCTTCAGTATAACTATGCTTAAGGTGTCTATCATCCATAATACAGCATTGACGAAAATTGTTTTCTGATCCACAAAGATCTTAAAATATATAACAAAAATTATACTGCTAATAATTCTCTATTTAAGGATAATGTAGTAAGATTAGGTAGTAGTAATAGCATATGGATATACACCCTTTCCTTTTGACAAAAGAGTGACAAAGAAAACTCTCTCTCTTCTCTATTACACATACTTCCTTTCCTTCCTTCTATTGTTCCTATCCTTGGTAACTGACAGAACCTGGACATAGCTTATGTGGGTCAGTGAACGTCATAAAAAAAATCAACCAATAAAAGTCCCGGCAAAATCAAACGGAAAACACGGATGTGTCAGGCCCAATAAAATGAAGAAAAAAAAACACGTGTGCAGTGGGAAATTGGTTCGATGTAGCAGTTCAAGACGCAAGGGTTGGAAATTCATCGGATGTTGAATTCACCTGATATACAACTCCAGAAGAAGTAGAAGAAAGAATGAATTCAACAAATTAATTTCTGTCAGCTAAAAACACAACGACCCTGTATGAACTCTGAAATCACAAAAAGACTAAGATGATAGTCACCCACTTTAACGACTGTAACCAAATGGAGTTAACAATAAACGTTGTAATAAATACGGCGACAAAGATGAGGACAATAGTCCGAATAATGTAAATAATGTTCATAATACCTCATTTCCGAAATATAGACAGATCCAGCAAACAGTTAAATACACTTTTATAATTTAAAGAATCAGTTCGCACAAACTGGTGCAAACCTGTAGGATGCAAATACTGGCTCTATACCTTCTTGTTTTACACTCCATAGGACAGAATTACAGAGACGTTTGCCTCATTCTTTGAGATACAAGATCTAGTAGCGGGAGTTTATTCTCTGGTTCGTATGTCTTAACCAAACATGTCAGCCAGACAAGACATTAGTCTCCTAGAGGCGGCTATTTCTACCAGTTCGGATTTATTTATCTAGGACTCACTATACTATGTACTCGGATTCGAATAACCCATAATTTTTCCATATTCCAATTGTAAGGAGCAAGTTCCACTTAGAGAGTTTTATTTCGGTGAACTGCTACTTTGTGGAAAAAAACTCCAATGATTTCAATAGATAACCGTTATTAAACCAACATCCTTGAAATGAAAAACGCTTCTAAACAAATTGTGCGAGATTCTCTGAAATCCACAATAAATATGCTTGATTATTGACTGGTGTTTTTAGAATTATTGATTATAGCGAATAAGTTAACGAATATTTCTCATCATTAAGTCGCGTATCTCAGCTGAGGAAATATCAGCCTCCGTTTGCCAATTAACGATTCCCCGACTGTCAAACTGGCCTCCCTTTCTTTTCGGTCATTTGTCCACTTTTCAATAATTCAGAGCAACCGGTCAGCCGATTATCTGCGGTTAAATTGAAAGATGCTAGCGAAAACGAGGCTAATTTTGAGTCCTGCTGATGACAGGTGTGTCTGCGTCAGAAGAGTCCTCTCGCAATAACAGAGGCTTGCCACATTTCGAAGACTAGATGTATGATAAATTGTTGACTCGATGTCAGTTAATTAGCGTCTCAAAGTGGGTTCTAATCTGATTAGAGGTAACACATTTAGGAGTTCCGCCAAGTGGCTCCCATTTTCATAAAATGCCGGGAAATGTGGCATTTAGCAGTTAACGTATGACTTTGCTTGTCGTTAAATCATGTAAAAAGTGGAACGAGAGAGAAAAAAAAAAACGAAACGAAATAGCATCCATTTTAATCACAGAGCAGACGACGGGAAATATGATACGGACAGCAAAAGACGACGTCTACAAACTAAGACATTCCTACACGCAAGCCGCTAATGTCCCGCTGGCGGGCCGCCGATAGGGGCAGTCACTAGCAGGCAATCGGTAGACCACTAGAGGTCTGCCAATGGTAACACTGCCGCGTCGACCCCTCTGGCGGGCCGACAGCTAGTTAAACGCTAGTGGCATGCCACTCAGTGGCATATTGGTGGCTTGCGTGCACGGGTAAAAAAACAAACAACTTGAACTCCTTACTCTCCCTATTTGTCGACGCTCTAATTTTTATTTACAAAAGTAAGTAGGCTACTTGTTCCTACTTTTTTTTGCCTTTACTATATCCTGTAAGTGTCAAATTCATTAGACTCTCCTTTCGCATAATGTGCACAAGAAATTTCAGCGATCTATTCTGATAGGTTCTTTAGTGTTTCCGTTTTTCATCAAACTTCCACGTTGTTTATATGATCTGTCCATGGTATTCACACCGCTGTCACTCATGTCTCGTTGTAAGGACTCTTTACTACCCCTAGTTATTTGGCTTACTTCCTGGAAGGCAACTTGATGGAGGCAAACGAAATAAATAAACAGGAAGAATGGGATATAGGAGTGAAGGAAGGTAAAAGAACGAAGGAAGGAACGAACGAACCAACGAAAGAAAGAAAGAAAATGAAGAAAAAGACAAGACAATGAGGGAATGACTGAAACAAGGAAAGTTGACAGAAAGAAAGAAGGAAGGTAAAGGAAATAGATAGATAAATAAATTAAGAAAAACAGAAAGAAAAAGGAAGAATGAAATATACGAGCGAAGGAAGGCAAAAGAAAGAAAGAAAGAAGGGAGGTAAATGGAATAAATTAAGAAAGAAAAAGGAAGAAAGGGATATAGGAGCGAAAGAACGTAAAAGAAAGAAAGAAAGAAAGAAAGAATGAGAGGATGGAAGAAAGAAAGAAAAAGACAAGATGAGGGGTAATTACTGAAAAAGGAAGATTGAAAAGATAAAAAGAAGGGAGGTAAGCGAAAGAAATGGATAAAGAAAGAAAGAAAGAAAGAAAGAAAGAAAGAAAGAAAGAAAGAAAAGGAAGAAAGGGATATAGGACCGAAGGAAGGTAAAAGAAAGATAGAAAGAAAGAAAGAAAGAAAGAAAGAAAGAAAGAAAGAAAGAAAAGGAAGAAAAGGATATAGGACGGAAGAAAGGTAAATGAAATAAAGAAAGAAAAAAAAAAAAGAAAGAAAAAGAAAAAAAGAAAGAAAAAAAAAAAAGAAAAGAAAAGGTTTTTAGGACCGAAGGTAGGTAAAAAAAGAAAAAAAGAAAGAAAGAACTACAGAAAGAAGGAAAGAAAGAAAGAAAGAAAGAAAGAAAGAAAGAAAGAAAGAAAGAAAGAAAGAAAAGGAAGAAAGGGATATAAGACCGAAGGAAGGTAAAAGAAAGAAAGAAAGAAAGAAAGAAAGAAAGAAAGAAAGAAAGAAAGAAAAGGAAGAAAAGGATATAGGACGGAAGAAAGGTAAATGAAAGAAAGAAAGAAAAAGAAAGGAAGAAAGGTTTTTAGGACCAAAGGTAGGTAAAAGAAAAAAAGAAAGAAAGAACTACAGACAGACAGACAGAAAGAAAGAAAAAAAAAAAAAGAAAGAAAGAAAGAAAGAAAAAAAGAAAAGAAAGAAAAGGAAGAAAAGGATATAGGACGGAAGAAAGGTAAATGAAATAAAGAAAGAAAGAAAAAAGAAAGAAAGAAAGAAAGAAAGAAGAAAGAAAAAGAAAGAAAGAAAGGTTTTTAGGACCGAAGGTAGGTAAAAGAAAAAAGAAAGAAAGAACTACAGACAGACAGAAAGAAAGAAAGAAAGAAAGAAAGAAAAAAAAAGAAAGAAAGGGATATAGGACCGAAGGAAGGGGAACGAAAGAAAGAAAGAAAGACAGACAGACTGAAAGAAAGAAAAAAAAAGAAGGTAGGTAAACAAAATAAATAAATTTTGATTACTACTAGATATTATATAGCATTTTTTTTCTTGTTCTTTTCTAATGATTCTTTCAGATCCCTTAATACCCTGCTTAGTTTCTTGAAGGTATTAATACTGGATAGGAGATTAGATATTACATAAGAACTTAGCATAGTTTCCTTTGTTTCTAAGGACATTTTCTTATGTCTCAATACATTTCTTAATTTCTATAAAGCATCTTCATTATTAATGGTTAAAAAATACAAATTCCATAGCAGTCCATCACTCCATCTTCTTTTGTTTCTTTTTCTTAGTTTTAATTTTTTTTTTATTTTCTGTGTCCAGTAACTATTTTTGTACAAGTAAGACAACAGTGGCCAAACGTGGATCGACCTGGCAAACTCTCAGACACTCATTTAGATCACTATTCTGCAATAATTGAAATCCGATTTTTTAAAAAAATTGGAGCGAGTATTAGAGAATGACGCCCATTTCATATTTCTCAAAGAAAAAAAAAAAGAAGTGATTAAAAAAAAAAGTTCTCAGGTAAATTTTTTGCGTTTTAATCGATCATTTTTCTAGCATTTTATTTTTGGAATAATTAGAAATTATCTGATGGAACAAGGAAACGTAATTATTTTGATTGAAGCAGAAAAATAATGTTTGCAGCGAGAAAAACATTTCTAACTGAAAACAGAATTAATGCATCATTTTGAGGTTGATAGCTATTAACAAATCCCGACAAGAAATTGTCGAAATGGAAACGTGATGAATGAATACACACCCACACATGCTCTTATACACAGACATGCAAATATAAACACACATGTGTATAGACACGGAAGGATACTGCATCAACCAGAAATGAAAATGAAAGTAAAATAAAGATTAAATGGGAAGCGCTTAAGAATAATAAAGAATTAACGACTAGAAATTAAGAACGAATGAAAATGAAGACAAAAAAATGGTTAAAGATAACATCTCAGGAAAATTAAAGCAAAAAATGAAAGAAAGAAAAGAAAAATGGAAGATAAAAGAAAAGTGAATGTAAAAGAAAGAAAGAAATAAAGAAATAAAGAAAGAAGGGAGGTAAATGAAATAAAAAAAGAAAGAAAAAGAAGAACGTGATATAGAAACAAAGAAAGAAAGCATGAAAAGGAGGAAGGAAGGAAGGAAGGAAGGAAGGAAGGGAGGAAGGAAGGAAGGAAGGAAGGAAGGAAGGAAGGAAGGAAGGAAGGAAGGAAGAAAAAGACATGGCGAGGGGGAATAACTGAAAGGGGGAAGATTGAAGGATAGAAAAAAGGGAGTTAAACGAAATGAATAGATAAATAAATAAATGAATAAATAAATAAATAAGAAAAGGAAAGAAAGAAAGAAAGAAAGAAAGAAAGAAAGAAAGAAAGAAAGGAAAAGGAAGAACGGGATATAGGACAGAAGGAAGGTAAACAAAATAAAGAAAAAAGAAAAAAAAAGAATGGGATATAGGATCGAAGGCTGGTAAACCAAAGAAAGAAAGAAAGAAAGAAAGGGGGAAGAAAGAAAGAACATGGCAAGGGGTAATAACTGAATGAAGGAAGATTGAAAGATAGAATGAAGGGAGATAAAGGAAATAAAGAAAGAAAATAAAAAGGAAGAACATGATATAGGACCGAAGAGAGGTAAAAGAAAGAAAGAAAAGAAGAAAGAGAGAAAGAAGAATGGGATATAGTATCGAAGGATGGTAAACGTAAGAAAGAAACAAAGAATCAAAGAAGGTAGGTAAATGAAAGAAAGAAAGAAAGAAAGAAAGAAAGAAAGAAAGAAAGAAAGGACGAGGGATTGTACTGAAACCAAAAAGTTTGAAAGAAAGAAAGAAAGGTAATGAGGAAAAATGAAGAAAATGAAATGAAAGCAATGTAGAAAGAAAATCAAAAACGAAAAGCCAAGAAGAATAGAAGAAAAAAATCAGGAGGCAAAACTGGAAGATGTCAAAATGTCAAATGGCCATGAAGAGAAGACTTTGTCATGAGACAAAAAACTCCAAAATCAATAAATCCTGAAAAGAAACAAAAGAATGAAAAACAAAGAATTAAGGAGAAAAAAAAGGACAAATGGCTAAAAGTTACTAATTTACATAAATAATTAAATAATAGCTGGCCACTCGTATTCGAGGATACCAACCTACTAGGGCGGCTAGACAATCCCTATTGCAGACGCTTGCTCAGGCATATTTGTGTTTGTCCAACACTTACAGAGAACACCTGTGGTTTATACTGCAACAATGCTTAGCAGACCTTAGTTACCATCTCAAATACAAATACACTTTAATGTATGTTTTTTTTCATTTGGTCACAATTCAGTCGTTTTTCAATCACTTCAATAAAAGACTTAAACATGGATATGCAGTTAAGAAAACAGCGGTTGTTTAAAACTCAAGTCTCTTAGTGTAAAACCCGATTTAATATTCTACAGGCACTCTAAAAAAGGTACTCTCTAAAAAGTTACTATAAAAAAAACAAAACAACTGTAACGATCCGGATGTAAATAAAAAGACAATATGAATAAAGGCAAGAGAAAAACTATTTTTTTTTACCAAGGCGTTTCGTCCTCGAATACTAAGAATTTTATTTTGCACCAAGTATTTATAAACAGAAGTAAAAAAATATCGTTAGGTTTCCAGTAATTAACAACGCACCTAAAATACTTCAAGCTAAATGTGAAAATCAAGGTAAACTATGGCGGATGCTAAGATATAATTTAATACAAATTAATATTATTTTTATCATATATTTTATATATATATATATATATATATATATATATATATATATATATATATATAGGAGCAGCTTAGTGAGAGTAGTCGTGGCTCCAGGGGCAGAGTCCTATGGTTGCAGAAACTCAGTAGAGTTCCACCACGGAATATGTGATCGAGCGGCGCTATATTGAGTCTGATTTACAATCTTCTCGTCATCATTTGGAACAGTTGGTATGATGTTTGCTTGACAACCTAACTGTCAGGGTTTCAATTCTCTGTAGTGGATGCGCACTGCTGATGAGTCCCAAATATAGGACGAAACGGCCGTCCAGTGCTTTCTGCATTCTGTTGAGGTTTCTATCAGACTTGATGAATTAATTAAATATATAGATATATATATAGTTAGGTAATGAAAAGTTTGGTAATCCATATGGATAATCTCAAGGGGGATGTAATTCAGTGAGCTCCATGTCAAACCAGAGCAAGTATTTAATTAGAAAACAGACAACCTTAAGGGTCCATCGATTATATTTTATTTCCCTCAAAAGTGTATAAAAATAATACGTAAATTTAATACCATTTCTTATGCTTGAAAATGCAATCTGAGGAACCAGGAAAAAAACATCTTCCTGGGGATATAGAATATAATCAATGGAGCCTTAAGGTTGTCTGTTTTCTAATTAAATTAATTTATATATCGGACTATATTTCTGAGATGAGGTGTTATGCTGACTATTTACATTGTTCGGTTTATCATCCTAATCTTTGTTGCCATATGTGTCACAAAGTTTCATTGAAGAAGGCCGGAGGTGTACAATGGCTGAAACGTTGTGATATATATATATAGAAAGAAAAGTTA